GGCATCGGGCGGGCGCGCCGCGCTCGAGTGCGCCGCCATGGACGGCGCCGGCCGCAGGGCCCTGTGGAGGAGGGCGCGCGCGCCCGTGGGCCTCGCCTTCGCCGGCGCCGGCACCCGCCTCTTCTGGGCCGAGCGGGGTGAGCACGGCGCCCTCGAGAACCCCCCGCCAGGGGTGTCYGTGGGGCGGCCCCCTAACACCTCCCGCCCGCAGAGAGGGGCGTGATCCACAGCGTGGAGCTGGACGGCTCCCGCTTCCGCGTGGTGCGCGAAGGGCTGCACGGCCTCGCGCTCTTCGCCATCGGGGAGGGCTTCCTGCTCTGGACCACGGCGCACACCAACGGTGAGCCCGAAGCTTGGGCGCTGCCCTCCCTGCTGCCCCCGGCCGCCCCACGGGGACCGCCGCGTCCCCCGGGAGGAGGTGGGGACGTGGCGGCCCTCGCGTGTCCCCAGGCTCCACCAAGGTCTGGCACAGCCRGCTGGAGCGGGCCGAGAGCTGGTGGTTCCCGGTGGAGCAGGAGCTGCTGGATGTGAGGATATACAGCCCCTTCTCGCAGGGAGGTGGGTCTGCGGCTGCCGCGGCACGGCCCACACCGGGCACCGCGAGCCCGTCCCCGCAGAGACCCCACCAACTCGCGCTGTCCCCGCAGGCACCCACGGCTGCGCGGAGAGCAACGGGGGCTGCGCGCAGCTGTGCCTGCCCAACGCGGCGGGGCGGCAGTGCCGCTGCTCGCACGGCTACCGCCTGGTGCGCGGCACCGAGTGCGTGGCGGCGGCGCCGCCGTGCCCGGCCCCGCTGCGGCCCTGCCGCGACCAGCGGGGATGCGTGTCCGCGGAGCAGGCCTGTGACGGGCACCCCGACTGCGCCGACGGCTCCGACGAGCTGGGCTGTGAGTGTCTGCCCGTGCTGGGTGCGTGCGGGGCTGCAGGGGAGCACAGCGACGCTGGCACGGCTTGGGAGGGGAGGCCCACCACTAAGGAGGCTAATCCGGGTTGGGAAGGAGAGCCCATCGTCCAGGAGATTGTCTCAGGTAGGGAGGGGGAGCCCACCATGCAGGAGATTGGCCCAGGTTGCAAAGGAGAGCCCACCATGCAGGAGATTGGCTCAGGTTGGGAAGGGGAGCCCACCATGCAGGAGATTGGCTCAGGATGGGAAGGGCAGCCTACCATGAAGTAGGCTCGCTCAGCCTGGCCCAGGTTAGGAATGAGAACCCACCATCCCAGAAACTTTTCCAATCTGTCCTATATTGGGAAGGCGAACTTACCATCCCAGACACTTGTCCAATCTGGCCTATATTGAGAACGGAAAYCCACCATCTCAGAAACTTGTCCAATCTGGCCCAGATTGGGAAGGGGAACCCACCATTGAAGAGGATGGTCCAGCTTGGGAAGGGAACCCAACATGTTTGAGGCTTATCTCCAGGCTGGCCCAAGTTGGGATGGAAAGCCACCAACTAGGAAGCTCATGGATGCTGGCCATGGGAAGCCACCATTGCAGAAGCTTGACCATTCTGGCCCAGGTCGGGAAGAGGAGCCCACCGTGGGGCTCCACTGAGCTGTCTGCATCCCTGCAGGCCCCTCTGCAGCGGTGGAGAGGCAGCTTCCCACAGCGGCACCACCTCCAGGGATGCCCCGCGTGGAAGGGAAGGAGAAGCCAGCGCTACCCCCGGCTGCACCCAGCCCTCACCCGCCTGCTCCCAGCCCACCGGCAGCGCCGAGCGCCCAGGAGCCCTTCCCGGCACCGGCGAGCACCGAGGAGGTGCTGGGCGCCGTGCCGTGCAGCAGCGAGATGTGCAACCTGCGCGGCGAGTGCGCCATCGAGGCCGGGCGCGTGACGTGCCACTGCGCCCTGGGCTACCGCGGCGACTCCTGCGAGGAGGCCGAGGTGCAGCCCGTGGCCGGCCCCATCGCCCTGGGGGTGGCCGTGCTGCTGCTGGTGAGCGCCGCCTCCGTGGGCGCCCTGGCCTACATGCGGAGGAGGGACAGCCGCAGGAGGTGAGCTCGGGGGCTGTCCCGGCTGGGGGATGCAGAGGGATGGGGGCCCCGGGGGGCTGCCCCATCTCCCCACGTCACCCTCAGGGTACCTGCTTCTCCCCAGGACCTCCAGCACTGCCTCCACCCGAGTGCTGACTCTGTACCACCGCGAGAGCGACCCCGAGGAGGAAGATGAGGAGGAGGAAGAGCTTCCCCCCAAGGGCGACACCTTTGTGAACGAAGCTTATGATGGGAAGGAGGTGAGCAGCTCCCAGGGAAGGTCCCGGTGCGGGAACAGGTGCGGAGTGGGGCCGAGGGAGGCCAGCTCAGACCCGTCCCTCACGCACCTCTCTGTGGTCCCTGCAGGAGCTGCCAGCACCGCTGGGGAAGGGACCATCTCGCTCCTGAGACCGGTATTCCCATAAAGGAACGTTGTGCAGCATCTCTGGTGCCGTGGTGTTGTGCGTCCAGCCTGGGGAGGACAGGGCTTACGCGTTGGCTTGCTCTTCCCACCCCTCCAAGCTCCGCGAAACTCGCAGGCCAGAGCAAAACAGTTTTAGGAGGTCTCCAGCCCCAGCACCTTCTCGGAGCAGCCCCAATCTGGTGCCATGCTGCAGGGAATGTGCCATCCCATCCCCTTACCACACACAAGGCATCTCTGTTAACGGTCCCTCCACAGGGAGGGACCCCACCCAGGCCTAGCTTGCTGAATAGGGTGCTCTGGGCTCTGCTAAGGCCTGAAATCCAGCCCAGCAGCTCCCACAGAGTGGGAAGCCAGTGAAGGACATCATGATCTGCCACATGAGCTTCTTTGGTGGGTGGGAGTCCGTTTGCCMAGCTTGCCCTTGCCTCTGGGTCAGGACTGATCCCAGAGCTAGGASAGATCCTACTGTCGGTCAGAGCAGCGTCCTCCTAGTCAGCAGTTGGATCTGTCCTAGCTCTGGCCGTCAGACCCAACCAAGACGCTTCCTTTTATCAGCCACATCTCCTAGGAGCCGGACACACTCCTGCTCTGGTTCCCCGGGGAAGGCCGTGTTGAGAGGTCTGCCAGCCCTGGAGCTCCTGGAGCACTGGGGGCCCTGGTGTCCCCAGCTGCCAGGTGTCCCCCCAGGAAAAGCCGACAGAGGGAAAAGCAAGGCGCGCCCTGGGAAAAGCCCGTGTTTGTGCCGTTCCACAGCGGTTTTATAGCCCGCTCTGCTCTCCAAGTGTCCCTTGGGAACCCGCGAGACCAGTTTTACTGCCTCGCAGCGGGAAGTGCGGGTTGTTTTTCTCTGCCTTTGCACTCCCTGAAACCTCTGTGCTGGAGGAAGGAGAAACCTCCCGGGCTGACGGTGCCCGACCGCGCAGGGAAGAGCCCTTGAGGACAGCGCTCCAGCAGCCGCCGTCCCCTTGCAGACCTTCCCCTCCTGGGAAGCGCAGGGGGATCCATTGTCCATGCCCACCACACCGATCCACGGGCGGGAAGCCCGTGACCGCCTCCCGCCGCCGCAGCACGAACCTGTTCCTCCTCATTTATTTCGATACGCGCGCAGCCCCGGCGCCGAGCGGTGCAGTCATGGATCCGGGAGCAYGGCGCGCCCGCAGGGAGGCTGCACGTGTCCGAGATGGGGCCGGGGGGGCCCTGTCCAGTCCGAGGAGGTGCCCGTAGCAATCGCAGCGGCCGGGGAACACGGGAGCCTGTGCGTGTTGGGCGGACAAGCAGCGCCCGCCGCTACAGGTCGGAGTCGCAGGGCAGGCTGCTCCTCCACGGCCGCTCATCCTGCAGCACGTCGGCCGGGTTGTGGTAGGTCCTTGGGGAGCCCTGCCTCCCGGGGAGGGACGCGGGGCTCGGCGGCGCCTTGCGGGCCCCCGGCTGCGGGCAGCAGCGGTGCAGGCTGAGTGCCAGCGCCAGCCCGCCCAGGATCTGCAGGCAGCTGCCCAGGGCGCTGAGCACGAGGCTGTAGCCGGCAGCCAGCGCGCTGCCGCCCGGCGCCGGCAGCGCCCGCAGCTCGTGCGCGTACCAGGAGGCAGGCGCGAGGCCGAGCAGCCCCGC